TAATCTGTCATTACTCCCAACTGGAGAGTTAAAGTGGTTGTTGAGTCATTAATAATAAACGAAGAGGTATATTGATACACAAAATGCTCTGTTGCCTATGGCTTAAATGTAATTTCAAGGTTTAACACAGGCTTACCTGAGAAAGAGTGCAAGTTAAAGTATGCGTCTCACTAATTCTCTTATTGGACTAGTACAAGCAGCTTCTTACATAACGGTTTGTGTAGTCAATTAGCAGAGTATTAGCTATAATAGATAACATTCTTACTAAGACCGTATTAATTAAAATTTAAACACAGCTAATCTGAGACCTATATTGAATTTATATTATTATGTAAGCATAATGTTTCCATAGGCAAGTAATTTCCTTCATGTCATTTTTAAGGAAAAGAAAATCCTAGCATCTGAGATATAAATATGTAAATTTTAACAGCTATTTGAAAACCATGTAACAGTTCTTAAAACTTGATTGTGCCAGGCCATATCACAAATAATAGTAAGATTATGAGTAGCAAAGGACACAAAAGATTAAATACCTTTTAAATTTGTTAGAACAGAAGGAGTGAGATTGCGATCTTAGAAAATCTCCACACTAATTTAATGGATTTATGTTACTGTTCCTCATTTTGCCTTGAGCTAGACCCCAGTCTGGGGGTTCTCTAGTATAACTTCCCTTCAGCAAAAATAAAGACTGATGTGTCTCTATGCTCACATTTTTTATTTATCCACTTGAATCCACCAGTTTTGAGACAAAAGTTCTCTGAAATTATTTAGGAATCCTGTTGAAATATGGATTTAAATTTAATTTTAGCTGTATGGTTTTCTGTCCTCCTTATCACTTTGTTAAGCAGTTCTGCAATATAACCAATGCTTAATATGTCTGTGGTATATCAGCTATCTGAAGGAATCCCTTAGGCAAAAAAGGTATTAAATTTTTAAATCACAGATGACCATGAAACTAAGCAATTGCAAATTTACAAGCATAGCAAACTTCAGTACAACAATATCAGAAAATCTGTGTTTTGCAATGAAATTAAAATGCAACCATCTTGACTTCTGCCACTAACACTAGCATCACCGCTGTTAGTAGAAATAAATCCCCTAATAATAAGCTGCTCGGGCCACAGTGTTCTGTTATCTAGTTACACCACTGAGAGTCATTGCCCATCTGTATGCCAGAAGACAAGTGCTTCTCATCGTGGCTGAAATGAAGTGGAAGAATGAGGGCTAATATGCTCATAAATGCTCATGCCAAACATCATGTAAGTGATCAGGGGCTCACTAGGCATGTTACTTCTGTAACTGCAGATCCAGTGGACAACCTTTGGAATTTGTACTCCCCTCTCTCACTTTTACTAAAAAGATATTTTCATATTTGTAGTATCCTATCTTTTTCTTTCTTTCTTTTTTTTTCCTTTTTGTAATAGTAGCTTTTTCAAATATTGTGGGATATTTAAGTATAAGCCATACTCTTCCATATCTAAAAATATCAGTCAGCAATGTTTTAAAATCTTTTACCAATTTATGCATCATTATTTTTGGAGCATATACTTTAATTTCACCAACAGAGGTCAGTAAACCACTGAAAGAGAACCATAAGTGTCTGGAGAGAACACACCCTCGTCAATCTTTCTAACATCCTTTTGATAGTTTTGTTCAAAGGGCTGTTATTTGGTTGCTTCAGTAAATACAAGCTTAGTTAGCTAAAAAAGAAATAAATAAGCAAGTGTATGCTTATGCACACAGGAGAATGAGGGGTTTTTTTAAGGAGATAAATTACACAAAATAATATACTATTAAAGATCTTTCAGCAGTAGATTGTATTTGAAATACCTGTTATGAAGCCAGTAGCATACATATATGCATAGGTATGATCCTAGCTAAATCAACTTGTCAAGGTTAAAACAGGCTGTGATTTAGATGGCAGTACTTTGAATGATCTGCAAAATTCTGCTTTTCAGGCTTTGTGCTGTTGAAAACCAACGTAGTGTGAAAGGAGTATGAAGAGGAGGATCCTAGAGAAGTAACATTTAATGATATAAAAATAACAGATAGAAGCACAGGAGAAACCGAGAGCTGTCACCTACTTGCTCATTTTGACAGTAACACTCAGCTAATGGAACTATATTAACACATCATTTTCCAACTTTCAACTGTAATGAAAAGCTATTTTTACAAATCATTACTTTCAGTATATGGTGTTTCAGCCACGTGGCTTCTATTAGTGCAGAGGGGAGTTTCACAACTAAAGCTGCCTGTGCAGCGCTGAAAGTGTACCTTTTATGTTGAGCTAATCCCAGAGGGGAGTCAGCACTGGCACCCGTGTCCTTTTGACCTTTATCCTTTTAATGCATTTTGCCACAGTAGCAAAAGGTGAAAACCTAGTTTTTATGTTGCAGAACAGACCGCTTCAACAGCATTTCTCTATGAAGCTAAGGAAAGTAACATACACTCCTGTGGAAATGTTGAAAGTCCCTAATTCAGCAATCAACAATAGCTTTACAAACGTATTTTTAGAATCGCTTTTCTGGTAGCCCTTTGAAGCTCACCCGTACAACCCCACTACCACTCCTCTCAACAGCTGCGAGCATGCAAAGCCACTGGAGTGGAAGATGTTAATTATCATCAGATACTGGAATTTCTCCAGGGACTACTTGTGGTTAGAAACATGCTTCCCTAAAGGACTGCATCAGGCACTGGGACCATCTCTCCTGTAGCTTATTTGAGTCCCTCCTCTTAAGCAAAAAAGATAATAAATTAAAACTCCCAAATTTCACTTTTTTGCATCCTTAGAACATGACTGATTGATACAGAACTGTAAAATCTTTTGTGTGAATATAATTCCAACAACAGGCATTTTCATGTATATGTGTTTCCCAGAGACTAGGTTTAGCATACATACAGATTTTGATTAGAAACTGGAGAAACTAGTCAGAAATTAAAAGAGAACAAAACCAGAAAACATGCAAATTGAAAGACATAACTGTAATTGTTTTGTCTATTTTTTTCTCTGACGAGTCATTTGAAGTTTCTTTTTATGCCCAAGAAAACACTACACACCTTCCCCCTCATGTCATCAGAAAACTGCACACACAAAAATGGTCTTTCCCCTTCTGCTTTACCTCCTGCTATTCAGTGGCATTTTATGTCTAAACTAGTTAGCATCAGGAGCTTGATGTGATGTCAGCAAGTGAGATATTCCCCACAGAGAACCAAAATAATAGTAGATGAGCTGGCAGAAAGATCTTCAGAAGGGGAAATAACATAAAAACAACAGATTCCAAGGCAAGCCTTTACTGTGACTGCAACAAAGCACCTTTAATGACTGAACACATCCTTAAATGTACCTTGTAGACCCCTCTGTGGTAGTTAAACCTAGTAATCACTACCACCCCCGCAAAAAGACCAAGTCAGGTCAGTCTCTAGCTGCAGAGAAACTAGGGTGAACACATTAATTTGCAGGACTTGACTCCTAACACACCAAGATGAAAGCTGAGGACATTTCTCTTGCCCTTTGTGATAGATGGGAATGGCACATGTTCCCCAGTCCTTGATGAAGTGACACACCAGTCTTATTTGACAGTCTCAGGGAGTTGAAGGAAAACAGGCACCACGCTCTCCAAGAATGCTGTCTCTTTCCTGTAAGGGCAGGAAATCCCCTTCCACCCCTGGGAAGAAGGTGGTAAGCAAGAGGAAGGAAACTGAATGTAACAGAAACTAAACATGTCAGCTATGAAAACAGTAACCACCAGTGACTACAAAAATCCTTCCTTGTTATACTTAAGGAGAATGAGTACAGTAGTATTTCAATTATTTGGTGTTTAAAAACTCCACAATTACTGGCCAGTTCCCTTCTATGCAGCCCATCAGTGTTCTGTATTTTACACCTTCTCCAGTTGAACATCAAATAGTGATGAGAAGTAGATATAGTCAAGACGAGGAATTGCTTAATTCTTCCAAACTGGTCACTGCTTAATGGCACAGACCCATTAACTTTGGGTCAACTGCTGTTGGCCCTTCAGAAGCTGGAGAAAGTAACAGAATCTATGTTGCCCAGCTGGCATCACGAGTGACAGTGAAGATAAAAGTGAGCACACAAACACAGAACTGTTATATACAAAAAAAGTTTAATTGAAATACCTGTATAAAAAATATGATCTCCATACATTTCACACTGTTAAACAGAAGAAAAAAAATCCAAATCCAAGCTGCATAAATGCAACCAGATCACAGAAACACAGCTATTAAAATAAATTAAGGTTTATGACTCTGCCACTCTACCTTCCAGAGCCAATGCACGGAGACTGTACAATGTCAATAATTTAAAACCCTTCCAAACAGCATTACTTTACATTTCTGGTACAATAATACCAGACAGAAGGCATACTGACTAACTTTAAAAATTCATTCTATTTCCCTTAAATTAGGCTTTATACAACAATTTTCCATCTTCCAACAAAAATTGATAAGGTCAGAAAATTCTTTTTTTTTGTCTGGATTTTTTTTCTTTAAACAAGAGTTGACAGGAATGCAGGAAAAAAAAAGTGCCATGGGCAAACCAACAGAATTCCCATGGGGAGGAGGGGAAAGCACAGTGTTGAATAACTCTAACCAAATAAATTAACCAAATAAATAGCCACAGCTGAAACCTGTGGGAGGTCTTCTAAACTCCAAACAATAAATAACTGTATAGTACATGGGAAAAACCAAGTTTACATAAACACATTATACAGGTATGGAAAAAAAAGTAAAGTCCTTGAATATTGCATTGATTGTGCATTCAACATGCCCATACATACTTTAAGACTCGCAAGGTGACAAAAGGCCGGGAGGAGTTGAGAAAGGGGCTTCTCATGCCCAGTGGTAGAGATGATAAAAGGAAACATGAATAAATGTTTCTGAGAAAAAAGCCGATATACCTGTTCATATTTTTGTGCAGGCTATAGGAAATATTTTGAGCAGCAGAGGTGGGTTGGATTTGGAAAGGGCCAGGGGGCAGGAGTGAAATGTCTGTGTTCAAGTATTCCATCACCAGTGGATGGGACTACTTCATTCAATCACCGAACATGTTCTCCAATGCATCATAGGAGCTGCTTCCTCCAGCACTGAGTCTAAAGGGAGCAGAATCCTATAATGAACTGGATCTTCTTTGGACATACACAGCTCAAAAAAAGAAAGTCCCACTGAAGCAGCTTTCAAAAAGGCACTCAAAAGCAAATAAAATCTAGTCCAGGCTCTATGAGAGCAAAAAAGTTTACCATGTATTCAAGAGGTCACTGCTTTCTTAATAAGGTCAGTCTTTGACTAAGTACTGGCCTGCAACTCCCAAACATCAGCGTTTCCAAAGGAAATCTCTCATTCCAAAGCAGAAACCAGCAAAGGGGGAAAATAAAATCAAGTTCCTCAGACAAAGATTCAACTACAGAATAATGAATGCATTTTTCTAGCCCCTCCTACGTATTGGCAGCAGCACTGTGGTCTGTTTGTAGCTCCCCTCCCAGTGCGAAGTCTTTAGTAAATCACAGACTTTCATTACTTGAACTTGTGCTAGATACATCAGTATCAAGGGTCCGTAGCCTTATGTTACAGTCCTCAGACTTCACTACTTCAGATTTGTGCATCCATTGATGGTCAAAGATTTGCTCAAGTGTTGGTCTGTCTGAAGGCCTCAGTGAAAGGCACCATTTGATCAGCTGTTGGCATTCTGTAACAAGAACAAAAAAGCAATTTTAGACTGAGAAAATAAAAAGACAACCTTGAATACAAAAAACCCCTACATGTACAAACTGATGCGTACAGATTAAAAACAAGAGCCCCCATTTGACCCCAGTACAACTCACCAGGCGAAATTCTTCTCCTGAAGTATAATCGTCCCCTCAAGATTTCTTCGTCTTGCTCAAAAGGGATGTCTCCACAAACCATATCATACAGAAGAACTCCCAGAGACCATACTGTTGCTGACCTCCCATGGTATCTGTGGTATCTGATCCACTCTGGAGGGCTGTACACTCTTGTTCCTAAAAGCATAAAAAAAAGAAAAAAATTAAAGTCAAGGTTTAGCATGTTTCCCCATTGTTCAATTTATTCTTATAGAGCTAGATTAGATTCATGAACTGGTAATTCAGGGACTTAAAAACAAAAGCTTTCAATTTCTTGTGGGCCAAAGCCATTAGCAGTGTAATTTCAGGTCATCTGCGGGGTTACACCATCAACAGACTTAGCCCATCCGGTTGCACTCTTTGGTGTCCCAGGGAATAACAGCGCCCATCAGCTGACTGTTTACGCAGGCAAGCTCCCTTTCACTGACCACGTGGCGTCTGCAGCATCACACCAAAAATAGACACAAAAGGACAAAGGGGGCTGGCGGGGAGGAGATGGGAGGGCGGCAAAAAGGTGAAGCTCAGGTCTGCCCGCCGTGTGCCTGCTAAACCGCCTGATCCAATCCCGCAAGGCAGTAAACAAAACAGGGCCGATTACCATTTCTGTGTTTTTAAGGCTCCCTGCGCCTCCCTTCGCCTCCCCCCCGCGGGCTGTGCCGCGGCAGCTTTCCCAATCCTCCCCCCTTGGGTGCCCTCGGGCTCCTTGGATACCAAACAAAACGGGGAATTCGTGATGCAAGGTCACGTGTGGCAGGGCTTCGGGTTTCACAACAAACAGATGTGAGTGCGGCAGCTGGAGGGGGGTGGAGGGAAGTGCCCCCATCACATCAGTCACACTCAAAGAGCAGGGGGAAATGCTCCCTCCTGTCACATTCAGGATTATTTTCATCTTTCCCATCCCTAAAACGCCAAGCTCGGCCCCAAAGCTGGTTTCAAGTCATGTTGAGGGAGCATATTCATCCCCATCGCTTTAAAATCTGCAATGCGGGATTTCCAGGACACAGGCAGAAAGGGAGGGGGGGAGCTACTGCTTCAAGTTAAAAGAAAGCACTGCATATAAAAACTGCGTATCCACACATGGAAACATCCGACACTGACAAAGTCTCCATGTAAACAGATTACCCTGTAGGAAAAGAGAAAGGCAACACTTTTTCCAAGACAGGGAAATATAAACTGCTGCGTCACTGCCTGGAATCGCTTCTTTCCTACGCAACTGAACACCCCTAAGCTGCTCCGGGTCCAAAGGTTTCCATTACTGATAGACCTGATATGAACCCCTGCGTCACAGGCACTGCTCACAACTGCCAGGCATCAGAAACATGACAAGCAGCAGCTACAGGGAGGGAGGGCATCACCCTGGGAGGGGTGCAGGGGTCTGACCAAAGTCAGCACAGCCAAGCTGCCCTGGGCATGGGGCAGACACATACCATCAAAATCGGTATAGACTGTGTCCTTGAGGAGGGCCCCTGAGCCGAAGTCGATCAGTTTCAGCTCGCCTGTCCTGAGATCAACCAGCAGGTTCTCATCCTTAATGTCCCGATGCACTACGCCGCACCCGTAGCAGTGGCGTATGGCCTCCAGCACCTGCCGGAAGAACCCACGGGCCGTCTCCTCGTCCAGGGCACCCTTCTCTGTAATGAAGTCGAAGAGGTCTTTCACCAGTTCGGGCCGCTCCATGATGATCAGGTAGCCGTCGGGCCGCTCATACCAGTCCAGCAGCTTGATGACTCCTCTGAAGCCGGAGCCCACCTTCTTCAGGAGGACGATCTCCAGGGGCACCATTACACCGCTCTGGGCAGGGAAGGGGGTGCGGGTCAGCGGGGGGGCGGCACGGCCCGGGGTGCCCCCGCGCTGAGGGGAGGGAGGAAGGGAGGAACGGAGGGAATGAAGGGCGGGGAGAAGAGGGCGCGGCCGGCGGGCCCCCTTCGCCGCTGCCGCAGTCCGAGGGGCGGGCGCGGCGCTGCGGCGGCGAACCCCCGCCAAATTCCCCC